TGCTTGTCATGGAGGAGAGATTTACCAGGAACATGATAGATGTTTCTAAGAACTTGGAAAATGAATTAGAACGTTAGAATTGTTCTACTTAGCCCTGGAGGGCAGGCCTAGTAGGAGCAAGTGAAAGTTACAGAAATATAGATTTCAACTCAATAAAAAGAAAAACTTCCTTATAATTAGAACTGTCCAAAAGCAGAACGGCCTGCCTCAGGAGGTGGTGAGTTCCCCATCGCTAGATGCGATGTTTTAAAGGGGATATCCTTTCCAATTCTGAGAGGAACAAGAGGTGTTTGTCTGCCACCATGTTGTGTGGTGAGTGGAGTCAGAAAGGAGTACAAAACCCAGACTAGGTATGAGCTGGAATCTTGGCACCTCAAACTATTGTCTACCTGGTCCTCTTGCCTCTTTTGGGAAAATTGACCCAAAAAGGCTAAGGTGATACCAGCTATCAGGACCAGCCTTAAATAGAAGTAACATAGGGGACCACCCACCCATGTGGTTTAAGATAAAAGGAAGGTCCTTTTCCAAAAAAAAAATCTCCTCTAAAGTCCTGCCACATGACCCTTCTTCCTATCTGACCCAGTGTTCCCACAATGAATATCTTCTTAGATATAGACCAAAAAAGAAAAGTCCCTAGAGCTATTATCTCCAGGACATCCCTGTTAAAATGCATAAGTGTTACTTCAGGTCAGCCCCTTAGTCCTCTCCTCTGTCACATATTGATTTATCAGTTTGTCCATTGGCCCCTGAATAAATGGAACATAGGATGAGGAAGGTCCAGTGGGAAGGAGGGATGGGGCAGAGAGTTAAACAGGGACAAGCTCTGGGTGGCCAGAAAGAAGTTCAAGAGGTAGCTTACAGGTCTCAGCCAGAGAGCAATAGAAGAGAGTGACAAGTGTCCTGTCGAAGCAAAGGTGCTGGAAATAAACTCTTCAGGTCTCCAACCCCCAATTTCCTGTCATGCTTGGAATCTGTCCCACATAATCGAACCTTTGAATATATGCTACAAGTATTATTAGAGCCAGAAGGCCCCACAGAAATCCCCTCATTTTATGGAGGAAGAAAGCGAAGCCAAGAAAAATAAAGTATACTCAACGTCACACAGCAAGTTAGCAGCAGAGCCAGGGTTCCAACCTAGCTCTCCTAATTCCCAGAATGACCCTTTATCTCATGTTCTATGCCCAGTAACTTTTAATTCCCAATCCCACTGGCCTGTCCCAGGATAATCCCTGCAAATCCTTCCTCAGATTGGCCACAGCTGGGTGGCAGCAGCCCAAAATTGATGTTTTCTCATTGAAGTCCTTCTAGGAGACTGGGGCTAGTGCCATAGGGCATGAAGGAATTGGGCTGGGTGCTGTGGGAAGCAAACCTCCTCCAGCATGGTCTTTCCTGGGATCTGAACTCATAACCTTCAACTTCCCAAGGAAAACTTGAGAATTGAGAACTACTTGCCTGGAATAGACAGCCATGGCCTTGAGCTTGTTTCCTCTCAGTCTCTTGCCCATACTCAGACCGTGGACTTCTTTACTCTTGGTAACTATTTGCCTGTTGCTGTGGGTTTCCTCCTGTGAAAGCAAGGTTCACAGGCATTGGTATATAGATATGTCCTGGGGTCCTGGTTTATTCATTCATTCAACAAACATTTATTAAATACCTAATATTATAAGGCATTAAGCTAAGTTGTGAGGATACAAAGAGATAGGAAATAGGATCTGTTTTCAAGAAGCTTGCAATCTAATAGAGAAGAAAGATATGCACATAGTAACTATAATATGAAGGGAAACATAAGTGCATGAGAAAAGTTGAAAGAAAACATCCTGAGTTATTTGAGAAAGGAGAAATCACTTTATTTGAGAAAGAACAGGAAGAAACAGAGAAAGCATTCTGGAGAGGGTGGCACCTGCGTTGAGCCTTGAAGGAAAGAAATGATTTTAACAGATGATGAAAGGAATAACAACATCACATTGTGGGCATGGAGGATGCAATGAGCCAAGGCATGGTGATGGGAAAGGGAAGGCTCAGGACAAAGGAGAAGAATAAACTAATTTTTCTGGAAAATGAAGTTCCTGAAGGGTAGTTACATCAAATAAGTGTCTGGATAAGTCACAGGGACCCAGATTGTATAGATTCTCGAATTCCAGACTTAGAAGTTTCTCTTTTATGGGGAGGCAGTGAAAGTTTTTGAAAAGAGGTCTAGAACTGTTAGAAAGATTCCATGAGTAGTGGTAGGGAAGAAGGATTGGAGGAAAAATAGAATGAAAACAGGAATACCCATGAGGCAGCTATTACGATAGTCTAGGCAAGAAAAAAGGCCTGATGGAGGTGGGAATTGACAAGAGGGTACTTCCTAACAATTAGAGGCACTTTGGAACTTATTAGATATATTGCTTCGGAAATTGTTTTATGGTCATTGAGATCATTTCTAACTCTGAAATGCTGAGATGCTGAGACCTGGGAGATACTGAGGAAGTGGAATCAGCAAAATTCTCCTCAGAGCAAACTAAAAGCAAGTTGGTATCAGGAAGTAGAAGGATCATTATCAAATTAATCAATTTATGGTTAGAATCCTAGAATCTTCATGCCAGAAGGGACCCCAGAAGTCATCCACTGAAATCCAGTCCCCTCCTTTTTCAGAGAAACTGAGGCTCTGAGAGGGAAGTGATTTACTCAAGGTTCTAAAAGCTCTTAATAGCAGATCCAAGACCAGAACTCACCCCTCCTGACTTTCAATTCAGCACTCTTTCTGCCCATGCTACACTGCCTCTCTGGGCTGAGAATCAGAAGGCTTGGTTGGGTTTGAGGCCTGACTCTGGCACTAAATCCTTATGTGACGTAGCAAAAACCCCCGACCACTTACCACTCCTTGATAGGAGTCTGATATTCCTGTGAGGTGTTTTATTTAAAGGGGAAGCTCATTAAGCAAAATAAAACCTTAATGACAAAAAGAAAGAAAGCTTCGGGGAAGAGGATGAAGGAATTGTTTACATAATGTTGAATGTCAGAGCTAAAGACACCTTAGAGATCATCTGGCCCACCCTTTAATTTTACATATGGAGAAACTGAGGCACAGGGAGAAGTGATTTGCTTCATAAAGCAATTTAATGGTGAAATCAAAACTGGGAGCCCATTATCATTACATCTGGCACTCTAATTCTGTATTCTCTGCACAGTAGGCACCTGATAAATTCAAGCTGCCTGAGAGAAACTCCCTCCCTCCCTCATATCCCTTCTCTGGATGACCCTTTTGACTGAATTATACTATTTCTATTAAGCACACTTCAGGCAGAACAGGTTTCAAAAATCCATTTTTCTGTGGTGGTGCTAGACCTAGCAGGCAGCCACAATTCATGAAACATTAAAGGTGGGTGAGGGAAGCATCATTAATTTCTCTGACATTGCAGGCTCTGGCTCCTACCTTTGGAGGAAGCAATGTTGGTCACACTTCACTAAATAGAATCCTTTCTTTCACCATTCATTTCTCTCACATTTCAGGATATGAGGGAGTTCTAAGTCCTTCTTCTATTATTATTTCAGAAGAAATCCCACAGGGTTGCCAGACGAATGAGATGACAGATGCATTCCTTGTCAAGAGTGACATTGGGCTCATGCAGTCTTATGTGATAGATGTTTGAGGAATTTGAATATTCCTCCCTCTTGTTGGGGAAGAGCTCCTAAAGAAATGTTTCCCAAAAAATCACTTATTTAACTTGTGGGTGAGCCAGATAATAGACAGCAAGCCAAAATGGTCTTCTGACTGTTCCTTCCATACAAGATTCCATCTCTCTGTGTTCTCCCAGATCATCCCCCATGCCTGTAATGCACGCCCACTTTACCTCTACTTCTTAGAAATCCTAGCTTCCTTCCCAGTGTACTTTAAGTTCCACCTCCTACACGAGGACTTTCCTGATTCCCACCCCCACAGACATACACAAAGCTGATAGCACCTTCTCCCGAAATTACCTTGTATTTTTATCTTGTATATATTCTGTCTGCTTGTATGATGTAAACATGTTGTCTCCCCCCTAAAATGTGAGCTCTTTGAGGGTAAAGGATTTTTGTTTTTGTCTTTGTATCCCCAGTGCCTGACATTTCCTGGTACATAGTCAGTCCTTAATAAATGTTTTTTGATCATTGATTAATTGATGTATTACGGAGCTCCCTCCTGTGCCAGAGTTGTATCATGTATTATGGGAGAGATAAGAAAAACAACTCAGTCTCTTATAAAGCATATAGTCTGGCTGGCAGGACTAGGTTGACACACATGGAATTGAATTATCTTTGTGCCAGAAGTGACCTTAACTGGAATCTCAGGACTGGAAGGGACCTCCAAGACCAGCTAGTCCAATACATCCCCAAAGCACAACAATGTCTCTGACAAGTGATCATCCAGCATGTGCTCAAAGCTCTCAGAGATGGCACTTATTGTGAGGGGGAACATTCCACTTTTTTTTTAATACTATCAATCTTTTCTTTTTTTAATAGTATTTTATTTTTTCCAATTACACATAAAGACAATTTTCAAAATTCATTTTTTTAAAGATTTTTCTTCCTCCCCCTGCTCCCCAAGATGGCAAGCAATCTGATATAGGCTATACATGTGCAATAACATAAAACACATTTCCATATTAGTCATGTTGTAAAAGAAAAAATAGAACAAAAGAAAACAAACATAAAAAACACAAACAAGTAAAAATAACATGCTTTGATCTACATTCAGACTCCATCAGTTTTCCCTAGATGTGGTTAGCATTTTACCTTATGAGGCTTTTGTAAATTGCCTTAGATCATTGTATTGCTGAGAAGAGCTAAGTCAATCACAGTTGATCATTGCACAGTGTTGCTGTTACTGTGTACAGCGTTCTCCTGGTTCTGCTCACTTCACGCAGCATCAGTCCATACAAGTCTTTCCAGGTTTTTCTGAATCTGCCTGCTCATCATTTCTTATAGCACAATAGTATTCCATTACATTCATATACCACAATGTGTTCAGCCATTCCTCAGTTGATGGGCATCCCCTCCGTTTCCAATTCTTTGCTGCCACAAAAAGAGCTGCTGTAAATATTTTTGCACATGTGGGTCTTTTTCCCTTTTATATGATCTCTTTGGGATATAAACCTAGTAGTGATATTGCTGGATCAAAAGGTCATCGTTTGTCACAGTTATGTCACAGTTCAATTGCCATTTGGAGATAGTTCCAAATTGCTCTCCAGAATGGTTAGATCAGTTCACAACTTCATCAACAGTGCAGTAGGGTCCCAAGTTTCCCACACCTTCTCCAACATTTATCATTTTCCTCTTCTGTCATATTAGCCAGTCTGACGGGTATGAGGGGGGTACCTCAGAGTTACTTTAATTTGCGATTCTCTAATCAATAGTGATTTTGAGCATTTTTATATGACTATCGGTAGCTTTGATTTCTTCCTCTGAAAGCTGCCGGCTCATATTCTTTGGCCATTTATCAATTAAGGAATGACATATTCTTATAAATTTGACTCAGTTCTCTACATATTTGAGAAATGAGGCCTTTATCAGAGACACTTGCTGTAAAGATTGTTTCCCAGCTTTCTGTTTCCTTCTAATACTTTGGTTTTATTTGTGCAAAAACTAAAAAGCTTAATATAATGAAAAGTATCCATTTTACATTTTGTAATGCTCTCTGTCTTTTATTTGGTCATAAATTCTTCCCTTCTCCATAGATCTGACAGGTAAACTACTCCTTGCTCTCCTAATCTGCTTGTGGTATAACCCTTTATATATAAATTAGGCACATTCCACTTTGGAATAACTCTAATTGTTGTATTTTTGCTGTGTCTTCAACCTCCCATTTAGTTACTCCAAGTTCTGGCCAATCCCGTTTCCGCATGACAGGTTTTCAAACACATAATGATGGCTATCATTTCCCACTATCCCTGAATCCCTCCTGCCCCAAGTCTTCTCTGCGCCAGAGGAACTCACCTAGTTCTTTCAACATGAGGTGATGTTGAGGTATTGCAGCAGCCTTGTCGCCCCCCTCTGGGCACACTCCAGTTTCTCAGTACCCTTCATGTAGCACCTTGACGCTACACACAGTACCAGCGCAAGCCGTGCCAGTGCCTGGAGAAGCTGCTACATTAAAATGTAGCGCTCAGATCATCCAGATCAACCCCTCGTTTTACAGATGAAGAATCAGGGTCCCAGGGAGAAGGAACAACCATTAGCAAACAATAAGATGAAGACCATTAACATAAAGTCAAGTAAGAAATTCATTTGTGTATATGCCATATCCCACCCCACCCCCATCCCCAGTATACCCAGCATATTTTAAACTCCTTGAGAGGAAGGATTATGTTGGTTTTCACACCTTTGTATCCCCAGCACAGGGCACAAAGTGCCAGAATTTTGGTCCAGAAAATCTAGCCTCAAATCCCCTTTCTGATCCTTACTAGCTGTGTGATTATGGGCAAATCATTTAATGTCTCTGAGCCTGAGAATCCTCATCTGTAAAATGGGAAGACTACTACCTTCACAAGGTCATCTTGGGGCTCAAACGGGATGATAAAGAAGGCCCCAAAAGTCTTAGTGCTGTGCTTAAGGTAAAGCTCAAACAAGCTTTAACAATCTAAAACTGCACTAAGACCTTCGGGACACCCTGTATATATAAATCATTGTGCAAACTTTAATGCTGTCCAGAAATGTCTATTATTATTATTATTACTATTATTATCCCTGCATGTAGTAGATGCTTAGTAAATGTTTGTTAAAATGAATAGTATTTTGTTTTACATTCCAACATGCTTGTCGTATAATGCTGTATATCATAGTTATGTTTTTGTGATGTCCTCCTATTAGACTGTAAGATTTTACCTGAATAGACACTTGGCTAAATTTTACATTTCCTCTGGCCCATAGCATAGGTCTCTGCACATAGTAGGTGGAAGACTTGTGGACTCTCCTGGATTTAGTTAGGAGAGACAGTTAGGGAGAGACTTGGGTGTGAATCCCACCTCTGATACTAGCTATATGACCTTAGACACATCACAACCACTCTGAGCTATAAAATAAGAGGTTGGACTAGAAGGCTTTGAAAGTTCTTTTCAGCTCTCAATCTATGATCTTTAATGAGATAATAGCAATAAGAACTGGGCTTATGATCTCACTGATACAGAGAATTCCCAGAGAAGGAAACTCCCTCCACCACTACAGGCTGATGTCTTCTCTGAGAACTGAGAGTCTCAAGAGAACTGAGAGGTTAGGAGATTTACCCAGGGTCACACAGCCCAGATATATCAGAGGTAGAAACTGAACCCAGGGCTTCTTGGTTCCCTATGAGTCTTATTCTCTATCCACTATACCAACCTGCCTTTCATAAATGACATAATAATATATGTAAATCCTCTTGCATATGTCAAGGTGCTATGTAAATGGCAGCTATAATAATTAATTGTGGCCACAGCTTGGCTCTTAAATATGGCCACAGAATGAGCTTTGACATTAGCCTCAGATTAAACCTTAATTCTATTCACCTTTCTCAGAAATGCTATTGGTCACAAGGGCCAGGAGGCCAGAGAGTATGGATGACTCCACAGAACCTTTCCTCACCACTGGAGACACAGTTCAAGATGCTCATCTTACAGCACACTTTAGCAGCATTGCTGTCTTGTGAAAACAAGACGGTTGTTCCCTGAACATTTCCTCTAGAAATCTGGCCACTATTGGCCAATTCTTGGCTAATTAATTCACTTCCTCATCATTTCACTAAAGGAGATTGTATTCTCTAGAGGTCTTCTATCATGGAGGTGAAGGACAGGTTCTGGAAAAACATTGAGTATAAGACCATTCCTGGTACTTCAGTATTCTGAGAGCATGGGGGAAAGGGGAGGAGGCACATAGTGAAGGAAGAATTTGACTTGATTGGTCAGAAAATATTCCAGCAACAGAGGCATTGTTCTCAACCTCTCATCTCTCTCTCCACTATGTCATCTGTCTCCCTCTCTTGTTATCTTCCATTTCCTCTTCTACTTCTCCCCTCTCCCTTTTCAGCTCTCTATATTGCCTCTTTCTTTCCCCTCCTTACATCTCTCCCTTTATTTTCCTCACTGTTTTCCTTTCCTTTCTTTCTCTTTTTCCTTTCTTTTTTAATCTTCTCTCTTCTCCCTATTTTTCTTCCTTCCTTTGCCTATGTCATTTAAGCTCATAATCTATTGCTTTCTTTGGTTTTCATTCTTTTATATATTGCCTTTCTTCTAACTCTTTCTCTTGTTCTATTCAAAAAACATTTAAGTGACTGATATGTGCTGGATGCTAGAGATACAGGGACAAAATACAATAATCTCTGCTTTGTCAAGGGGTTTACATTCTATTAGGATGATGGTCTCCAACCTTTTTTGATCATCCACCCATATAATTAATACATTTTGGGGTACCTTCTGTGCATATTAACTTATTTATAAATCACATGCATGTACCACAGTGCTAATAATTATATACATTATAAAACTTACACAAAAACAGAAATTTTAAAAAGGTGAGATAATGGTAAAAAAAAAAATTGGTCCTTGTGTCAATGGGAAACTACTAGAGTTTATTGAGTGGTGAAATGGCATTGTAAATCTTGCCCTTTGGAAATTCACTTTGTCAGCTAGGTAGAGGATGGATTGGAAAAAAAGAATGATTTGCATCAAGGAGACCAATTAGGAGACTATTGCCCTAGTCCAGGAGAGAGGTGATAAAGGCCTGAACTAGGGTGGTGGCTAAAAGAGTAGAGAGAAGAGAACAGAAATCAGATTGCAAGGACCATGAAAGTGTGTGAAAAGTGAAGAAATATAGATATTAAGTATAGACAATCTTTCTAGAAGTTTGATAAAGAAAGGAAGAAAAGATACAAAACAATAGCTTGAGGAGAGGTCAGGGTCATGTAAAATTTTGTCTCTGTGGTTGTGGTTGTGGTTGTTTTTAAATGATGGAGTGGGCTTACGTGTATTTGTAGAGGTGGGGGTAAGGACGTCACAGATAAGGTGATATCGAATCGGAGGAAAAGAGGAATGATCCAGGGGTCAAGCTCCTGGTGAAGAAGGTAAGGGATAAGATTGGTGAGGGTTAGGATTGGTGAAAAGAATCAGTTCAACAGAAACTGGAAAAAAGAATGAGAGAATAGAGGATGATAAAGCAGGGTTTTGAAGTATGGAATAGGGAAAATGTGGGAGCTTGACAGACAGCTTCTATTTTCTTAGTAAATTAGGTGAGGTACTTTGCTGAGAAGGAGGGGGAAGGACATGGTGTGGGAGGTTTAAGAGAAGATGAGAAAGTTTGGAATAGCCACAGCAGAAAATGTGGCAGAGGGTCAATCAGGGAGGAATTGAAGCATTGCCAAGCAGCAGCAAAGACCTAGTTTAGATTCAATAACAATTTTGTAGTTAACCCAGTGGGCACAGTTATGTGATTTCTTTCCAACAGCATTTCCAACAGCATATAAAAAGGAATGGAGATAGTAGATGGTGGGTAGAATCCATAGTTAGTATGCGATAAAGTGTGACTGACAATAGGAGGTCAGGGATTCAAGTGTAATTAACAGTGAATGGTTGAATTGGTCAACTATAAAGTCAAACCTGGAAAAGAAGATAAAGAGAAGGAAGGAAAAGGAAGGTGAAAGGAAGGAAAAGGAAGGGAAAGGAAAGGAAGAGAAGGGCAGGAAGGGAAGGGAGGCCAAAACATGAGTGATAAACTGAGTGAACAGGGCTGGGATGGGTGGAGGGATAGGAGGTCACAGTGAGGACAATAGAAAAGTTGGGGAGAAGGAGACAGAGAGAGAGAAAGAGAGAGAGAGAGAGAGGAAGGGAGGAAATTATGATTATAGAGGATTTCAGAGTATGCAATCATGAAGTCGTGGATGATAATGAGATCTGGGTTATGTGCACACCTGTAAATCTCTGAAATACAGTGAAAGTGTCAAGTACGCAAGATGAGGAGGTTGGCAAACTGGCAGGCCAGAGTCTTTAAGGCATTACCAACTTGTATATTGAAGTCCCCAAATACAAGGTCAGGAGTGTGGATCGAGAGAGACTGGAGCTACGTATTGCTCTCCTTCAGGAGGAAGGAAATTGTCCTAGGGCTGGTAGATTAGAGCAACAAGTATATTTCATTCCCTGAAATTCTACCATCCCTTTTAGAGAAAATTTTGCCTTCTCCAAAGTGATCTTTTAGAATGAAAATCCTGCCAGGCAGCTATTTATTCAAGCACATTGGCTTCTTTCTCCTCAGGCTTTAGAGTCTCAGTTTTGCTAAAGGCTGGTGCTAGAGGTACATAATCTCTGATTAAAGCTCTCTGATGAGAGCCATTGTTTAAAAAATAAAAATAAAAGTAAGTCTCCTTCAAGTACCAAATTAGGAATTAGATGAAAGGACAGATTTTCATATTTCACTTTGATGAAATAGCAAAAGCAAAATCAAGAGACAGAATAGGACTAACTACATTAAATATGTCAGTAACTAAGACTGTGAAACACACAAAGAAGTTGTGTTCCCTTTCCTTAAGAAGCTTGGGGAAACAATTCAGCAATGAAGCAATTTGTGTTGTAACAAATAATTAAATAATATGAGGTACTTTACAAACCTTTATGTGTTTTATAAATATTATCTATTATGATGAATGAAATTAATCATAATAGTGAATTAATTAAAATTAATCCAAAGTTATTTGAAAGTCTTAAAGCAATATATTAATGTTAGCTCTTATTATTAATGAAAATTATTTAAGACTATTATAATAGCTGGGCAAAATCGCACTACCTGTAATCCCAGCTATCACATAAGCTAAGGCTGGAGAATCTCTTGAGCTCAGGAGTTCTGAGCTGCAGTGGGCCAATCCCGACTAAGTTAAGCATCAGTATGGTGAGCTCCCAGGCTCAGGGGAGCCACTCAGTTGACAAAATGAGTCATTTGATCCAGTTCTATGCTGATCAGTAGTCACATTGGGCTGTAAAAGCCCCTGCACTTCCAACCTGGGCAAGATAGGGAGACTCAATATTTAAATATATAAATGAATAAATAAGTGAATGAATGAATAGTTAGATAAATGAATGAATGAGTGAATTAATGAAGAAAATAAATAGAATAAGCTATTAATTGTGTGGCCCACATCAAGGGGCTCAGAAAGGATATAACCATTCA